TTTTCTTTGTTGGACTCCGAAGAGAGAGGATAAAAAACTCATTAGCCTCTGTTTCTGCTATTACCTTGGTTAATGATGTCATTGTTTCCATTCCCCTTTTTTAGGGCCATTTATTTTATTATCCTTTCATTTCTTTCCCCTTTTTGTTTTTCTCGATATACAAATTTAATATGTCCATTTTTGTAGTTTTAACAACACTATATATTTCTGTCTCCACGTTCTCTCTCTCTATCTGTGCGTCCCTCATATATATATATATATATATATATATATATATATTTATATATATATATATATATATATATATATATATATATATGTGGCACCATGCATCCAGGCGATTTGAAAGATATATTTATAGATATATGATTTGCTTTTTTACGGTTTATCAACCATTTGAGGATTATTTAAGGCCGAAATGTATTTTAGGTTTTAAGAATAATTCTTTCTTTTTTTTTTGCAAGAGGATTGAACCGCCATGCATTCAGGCGATTTGGAAGAAAGAAAGAGAAAACGAAGAAAAAGGAAAGGAAAAAGTAATACGAGACGGGTCATAGGCGAACACACACGCGGCTTAAGAGACGGGAATAAGAAAGAAAAGGGTTATTTTTGATAGGTATCAAATGTCGAAAAGAGTTTCATTTCAATGACAATGGGATTGAGTGGGCGAGGAAGTGTTATCAATATCTAGGCCACCTGCGAACAAGCGTTGACCGATTTCCGCTTATCCACGAAAAATGGAACTGTGTTATCAAGAGATGTCACCAAATAAGAAGTCCACTTTGGAACGTTAGGTTTTGATAATTGACGAAACAGAGGTGTGGCTTGGGGCCTTGGCTGGGTATGGAAAATTAAAATCCCACACAAGTAGTTTCACTGGCTAAGTTTTTTTGTTTTGACAGAATAGACTTTTGCCCTGCGATAATAAAATTTTGTTATCAAACACATGAACCGAAGGAAACTGATATATTTTTATTTCTGCTTTGGAGACGCCAAATTGGCGAAAAACTTGGAGAAAATTCCTTTCTTAGACCATGTCAGATAATCCAGCTGTCCAGTACATTACCGATAAACTGCTTGACAAACGCCACGTGTTGAACAGAGAGTTGTCACATTAAACGCCCATGATGACGGCGATTTGAAAGAAAGAAAAAAAAGAAAGAAAAGAGATCATTAATTTTTTTTAGTTAAGCAGGGTATATTTCTTTTCCAAAACAAAGCCACGGGTTGTCCACGCCCGACAAGATGTCATTGGCCAAGTGGTGATCACATAACGCACGAAGGAGGAGGGAAGATAACCGACCGGGATCTCATTGGCCGAGAGTGGTCACGTGACGCCCGAAGAAAACAGTCAACGCCCTATCCAGAGTATAAGTATGAGAAGCCGCTACGAAGAAGTGGGGAGGGCAGTTCACGCCCCTCAGAAGCATGGTGAGAAAGTGGGAATGAGAAAAGAGTTACCAAAAATGGAAAAGAGTGGAAAATCCCTAACTAGAAATAAGAAGGGTGGATATGTTTCTAGAATTATCGAGGAACCTCCGACGCCAAACAGACCCACCCCGGTTTTGACGGCGTCAATAAAAACGAAGCCCCACCAGACAGAAATCAGTTCGTCGGACTCTGGCAGGCAGAGTTAGTTCAGTTCGTCGGACTCTGGCAGGCAGAGTTAGTTCAGTTTGTAGGACCCTGGCGGGCAAAGTTAGTTCGCGCCCCGACGGCAGAGATGAGTGCCCAGTAGTTCGCGCCCCGACGGCAGAGATGAGTGCCCATAGTTCGCGCACCGACGGCAGAGATGATAGATCAAGATAGCTGACCAAGATTCACGCAAAATTTTGGACTCTTCTTCAACCAAGAACAATTAGTTTGAAGAGCGACTTAGAACCAGACTTTCGTCCAAAGACACACCGAAACACCAATTTCTTAGAGAGCAGACAACTTGAAGCGTTAAAACTTGCCTAGCGAAAGCGACGTGCCACAATCCACAGAACGGGTCGGGAGATAGATGCAGTCCTATGTACCTAACAACTAGACATAAAAAGTTTTTTACCTTTTTCTTTGATACTTTGAACTTTTGAGTTTTCATTTTATATTCTTTTATGCATATTTGTGTGTTATCACCCCTGTTGAACTCAATTTGCATTACGGCCCCAACCCTGTTTGATCTCGTCTGTCTAAGATCAATTCACAACGTGGGTAGGCAAACTGGAGATCAGTGCAGTTACCTTGGTAACCAGGCGTTGGAAGCAGGTTGGGAACGGCGAGGCTGATATAAAATCTAACCAGATTCTACCCGAATCACCAAAGGGTTAGAACGTCACGTTTGGAGCAGCGACACCCGGACGGAACAGCGAGGAGCGAACAGCTAGCGCCGCGGCGAAGACGTCAATTGGTGCTGTTTAGGGACGTCATATATATATATATATATATATATATATATATATATATATACATATATATATATATATATATATATATATATATATATATATATATATATAGAGAGAGAGAGAGAGAGACAGACAGACAGACAGAGACAGAGAGAGAGAGAGATAATTAATGTAATCAAAATTTGTCACCTAGCTGATTGATGTTACCTTCAGCATTCC